TAAACCCTATTGAAAGTACCTGGGAAAGATATGCGTGTATAGATATGAGAAAGACAAAATCACCTATACACATATCTTAGTGGTACTAATCAAAAGAGTGAATGCATGCAAAACAAAACTATCAGATCAGCGCTAACATAAAAACAGAAGAAACATATACAAAATCTAAGCAAGATGACATAATCAAAATCATTTTTCATGTAACTAGTGGATAGATTTTAACAGAATGGAAGCACCTTTTTGGCATAAATTAAGTATAAGACAAGAAAGAAAACAAAACCCCAAAACATACAGGTCATAGGACCAATCCAACACTGAGGCACAATACAAAACTAACAAATACTTTGGGGGAAGGTCTCACCACAGTGAGAGGGACAAGTTCCCGAATCTCTTCCCAGTTCTCCTCCACCCACCTTGACACGGCCCTCTGCAGGCAGGATCTCCTCCCTCTACTTGGCAGCCCAAGTCAGTGGTCATTTGTAATGCATCAACTGTTGTTTCCTCACCGCCTGCCTCCGACTGGTGCTTGACCTCTCACCATGGACCACACGATTAGCCTGCACCTGGCCCTTTAACACGTCACTACGGATAATAAAATGAATAGTATACATCCATGTCTGACAACTTATAATGCTCTCCAATATCACAGCATAAGCTATAAAACAAGTCGATATCAGTCAACAAATGGCCAGGCTACAAAGAATGATAATTGAGTATCGAGTTGAGGTTTTACTCCTTATCAGCCTAACAATATTTTTCTAAAAACAAAACAATGTTTGCCTTCTTCCTATATAATCACATACCCAGTTGTATAATGTCCCATTATAACCAAGCTTTTTGCACAGATATATTTCAAGCGCCTGCATTGTAAGACGTACCATACTCAACAATGGTCTTTAATTGATGCAACAATGATTGAAAGTACACACAGTTCTGTTTTCTATAACCTGACATGCAATTTCATAATTTAATGATGCTAATAAAAAGAAAGCTGCTTGCAAAACAAATATATCAGATCAGTGCTAACATACACACAGAAACGACATAAACAAAATCTAAGATAACATAATCGATATTATTTTTCATGAAACTAGAGGATAGATTTGAACAGAATGACTGCACCTTTGGGGATAAACTAAGTATATGACAAGAAAAAAAAAAAAAAAACCCCAAAACTTACACCTAGTAGGACCAATCGATCACCGAGGCACAACACAAAACTAACATATACTTGGGAGAAAGGTCTCTCACCACAGCGAGAGGGGCAAACTCACAAACAGGGAGCTCCCAAATCTCTTCCTGGTTCTCCTCCACCCCCCTCCACACGGCCCTCCACGAGCAGGATCTCTTCCCTCCGCTTGGCAGCCCTAGTCATTGGTGGTTTGTAATCCATCAACAGATGTTTCCTCACTGCCCACATCCGACTGGTGCTCGGCTTCTCACCATGGACCACTGGATTTGCCTGTGCCTGGCACCTTAACACATGTCACTACTGATATTAAAATGAATAGTATGAATCCATGTCTGACAACTTATATGTTCTCCAATATCACAGTATAAGTTAGAAAACAAGCTGAGCTGATATCAGTCAACAAATGGCCAGTCTACAGAGTATTGAGATGAGGTTTTACATCTTATAAGCCTAACAATATTTTGCTAAAAACTAAACAGTGTTTGCTTTCTTCCTATAAATCCCATGCCCATTTGTACAATGTCCCATTATAACCAAACTGTTTGCACAGATATATTTCAAGTGCCTTCATTGTAAGCCATACCATACTCAACTATGGTCTTAGTTGATGCAGGAATGACAAACCTTATTGAAAGTACCAGGAGATGGCATGCTTGTCCTGATATGACAAAGAAGAAATCCTACATATACACATAATTCTATTTTTTTTTTAATCTGAGATGCAATTTCATATTTTAATGGTGATAATAAAAAGAATGACTGCATGCAAAACAAATATATCAGATCAGTGCTAACATAAACACAGAAACGACAAATACAAAATCTAAGCAAGATAACATAATCGATATTATTTTTCATGAAACTAGAGGATAGATTTGAACAGAATGACTGCACCTTTGGGGATAAACTAAGTATACGACAAGAAAAAACAAAAACAAAACCCCAAAACTAACACCTAGTAGGACCAATCGATCACCGAGGCACAACACAAAACTAACAAATACTTGGGAGAAAGTTCTCACCACAGTGAGAAAGACAAACTCACAAACAGGGACCTCCCAAATCTCTTCCTGGTTCTCCTCCACCCCAAATCCACCCTCCTCTACGTGGCCCTCCGCGAACAGGATCTCTTCCCTCCGCTTGGTGGCCCTCATCAACGGTAGTTTGTAATCCATCAACAGATGTTTCCTCACCGCCCGCTTCGACTGGTGCTTGGCCTCTCACCATGGACCACCAGATTTACCTGTACCTGGAGCCTTAACACATGTCACTACTCATAATAAAATGAATAGTACGCATCCATGTATGACAACTTATATGTTCTCCAATATCACAATATAAGTTACAAAACAGGCTGATATCAGTCAACAAATGGCCAGGCTACAAAGAATGATAATTGAGTATCGAGTTGAGGTTTTACTCCTTATCAGCCTAACAATATTTTTCTAAAAACTAAACACTGTTTGCTTTCTTCCTATATAATCCCATACACATTTGTATAATGCCCCATTATAACCAAGCTTTTTGCACGGATATATTCCAAGTGTCTGTATTGTAAACCGTACCATACTCAATTATGGTCTTTAGTTGATGCAAGAATGATAAACCTTATTGAAAGTACCAGGAAAAGGCATGCTTGTACTGATATGACACAGAAGAAATCCTACCTATACACATAATTCTATTTTTTTCAAAATCTGAGATAAACTAAGTATACACATAAGGTGTTTTTCAAAACCTTATTGAACAGAATGACTGCACCTTTGGGGATAAACTAAGTATACGACAAGAAAAGAAAACAAAACCCCAAAACTTACAGCTCATAGGACCAATCCAACACCGAGGCACAACACAAAACTAATAAATACTTGGGAGAAAGGTCTCACCACAGCGAGAGGGACAAACTCACAAACAGGGAGCTCCCGAATCTCTTCCTGGTTCTCCTCCACCCCAAATCCAACCCCCTCTACGTGGCCCTCCACAAGCAAGATCTCTTCCCTCTGCTTGGCGGCCCTAGTCAACGGTGGTTTGTAATCCATCAATAGATGTGTCCTCACCACCTGCCTCCAACTGGTGCTTGGCCTCTCAGCACGAACCACTGGATTTTCCTGTGTCCATCCCCTTAACACATGTCACAACTGATAATAAAATGAAATAGCATGCACCCATGTCTGACAACTTATACATTCTCTAACATCACATTATAAGATATAAGCAAGCTGATATCAGTCAACAAATGGCCAGGCTGCAAAGTATGATAATTGAGTATTGAGATGAGCTTTTACTTATTCTAAGCCTGTCAATATTTTTCTAAAAACTAAACACTGTTTGATTTCTTCTTATATAATCCCATACCCATTTGTATAATAGCCCATTATAACCAAGTTTTTTGCACAGATATATTTCAAGTGCCTGCATTGTTAGACGTTCCATACTCAACTATAGTCTTTAATTGATGCAAGAATCATAAGCCTTATTGAAAGTACCAGGGAACGGTATGCTTGTATGGATATGACAGAAAAAATCCTACCTATACACAATTCTTTTTTTTTTTAAAAACCTGACATGCAATTTCATATTTTAATGGTACTAATAAAGAGAGTGGTTGCATGCAAAACAAATATATCAGATCGGTGCTAACGTAAACACAGAAGCCACATACAATATCTAAGTAAGATAACATAATCAAAATCAGTACCAGACCCTGTTATGGGTTTTAATTGATGCAAGAATGATAACCCTTATTGAGAGTACCAGGGAATGGTATGCTTGTACAGATATTACGTAGAAGATATCCTACCTATTCACATATTTCCACTTGTTTTTAAAACCTGCAATGCTAGTCATATCTTAGTGGCATTAATCAAGAGAGTGGATGCATGCAAACGAAACTATCAGATCAGTGCTAACATAAACAGACATATGCAGAATCAAATTAAGAGAACATAATGGAAATCATATTTTTCGGGAAACTAGCGCTTAGATTTGAACAGAATAGTTGCACCTTTTCGCCATAAACCAAGTGTAAGACAAGAAAACAAAACAAAACCCCAAAACATACAGGTCGTAGGACCAATCCAACCCCGATGTACAACACAACACTATCAAATCCTTTTGGTAAAGGTCTCACCACAGCGAGAGGTGCGACCTCCCTACCGGGAAGCTCCCGAATCTCTTCCCGGTTCTCCTCCGTGTCTAATCCTCCCCCCTCGATGAGGTCATCTGCGAGCAGGACCTCCTCCCTCCGCTTGGCGGCCCTAGTCAGCGGTGGTTTCTAATCCACCAGTTGCTGTTGCATCGCTGAACGCCTCCGTTTGGTGCTCGGGCTCTCAGCCTGGTCCAAAGGATTTGCCTGCGCCCGTTCCGGCATCTTTCATCGACCCGACGCAATGCCTCAAAACCCTACGCGAATCCCCTCGACCAAGGGTCGAAGAGGAGGTGGACACTGCGAGACGGATTACGGCAAGGAAGACGAGAGCCCTCGATCGCGCTCAGAGAAGGGAAGACAAATAGGACCGGATATCGTCTCCGAGAAGGAATGGAGGCAGGGTTTGGATTCGGAAAGATTGGGAAAAAGACTTTGGATTCCGGGAACGACCAGAGAGAGAGAGAGAGAGAGAGGAGACTGTGGCTTTTTGGAAGACGAGGAGGCGGGCGGGGGTGGGTATTATTACGGGAAGAGAAGAAAACAAAAATTGCGGCATTGGTTTTTTAATTACAAAACAAAAGTTGGAGGGAAAAACAAAATTTGAAGAGCTTTCGTCGACTGTAATATCCCATCGAAGTCTGGTAATAGTAAATTAAATCATACAAATCCAAACCACAAACAGAAACCTTTCACGCTTAGTGTGGTTTTTAACAACACTTTCGCCATCAGATCAACACTTTCATCAGTCTTGGGCAGATACAAAGAATGATTCCACAACTCTTACAAACAGTAACCAATCACCTTTGTGGAAGCAAGACATTGCTCTTTGTGGATTTGAGGAATACAATTCTACATAGAAGATTTGCAGCAACCACCATAAACAAAACGACCTACACGAAGATATCAACATCCTTTGTTCGGATCCTTATCCAGTGGATATGGCTGTACACTTGATAATATATCAGTATGTGATATCGAATCATAAAAGCACTCGATTCAGAAAGTTGACCCGGACGAATGAGATGAGTGGCTGCTAGAACTTGAGCCATCTTTTTTCCAGAACTCCAAATTCCGGCAACAATTTAAAAGTCCGACCTGATAATATCAAATTTGAAAAAAATTTAAAACATTGATTCAACAGGGGAGTATGTGGTGCCCACAGACTCCCAGCTGACAGCTAATGGAATGAAAGGCAAAACATTATATCCATCTGATTATCAGCCAATACCAGAGAGAAATAAATTTGTATGGCATATTTTTCTAATAAAATGAGCAGCTAATCTAAATAATTATATTTTATTTTATTTTCGCAACTATCCAGAAAACAACCATGTCCAACTCCTCTGTCACAACAATCAAGAAACAAATTCTATCACTGTTAATACTGATCATATCAAGAAAATACCCCTTTGTTCCTCTACCTGTAGTGTCGTTACTCAGGAAGGCCAACGAGTATGCAACTTTTGTCTGATTCTGCACGGTGTAGTCTCATGGGAGCATCTAATTATCACTGTACTACCTTCACCCTTAGAAGAAGGATTGTTCGTGTATCCAGAAAACTACTAAAGCGTTTCAAGAGATCTTTACCTATTTGCTCAATAACTCGGAACATACTGTGTGATATGTAATAGGTAACAAGAACCATGGAACATGTCATATTTATGTTGGACATAATAAGTGATGGCCTTGGAATATTGACACCATTTTGAAATCCAAAAGGAGGAAATATAAAGCTGACAGCAGCAAACAGCAGACATTCATTAACGAGTTTTCTCTAAGAGAAAGGAATTATGTTGTCCACAGAATTCAATTTAAAAACTCAGAAATTAAAAGAACAATATAAACCATGAAATCTCATTGTCTTCTATAAAGAAGAAAAATATTTGATGTTATGGGAGGAAATAGCACCAACCATTCTACATTATGCAAAAGCTGCAGCTAATAAAATTGCATCGGTAAAGTAACAATCTAGGACCTCCAAGATATACCTTCCATCGCCGTCTCTGACCAATTTTGTTTAGAATAATGGACAACCTATCAATGATTTCATTAAATGTTGGTCTTTCAGCAGGGTCTTGACTCCAGCATCGCTCAATCAACCTACAAAAAAGCATGATGGATATGTCAGGCACTCTGACATGCAAGAAAGCAAACACAAGTTGAATAACATCAGAGAAGAGAATGCAACTAAGCTCTACAGAAAGTGGTCTCTAATTTAACAGTAAGTAACAATTTGCATGTATAGTTGAAATCTTTTAACAAGAAAAAAAAAATCAAACTTCAAAGTTAACATTGAGAATGAGAGAGATTTCCTCTGAAGACAACTTTATACAAACTGAACACAACCAATTTTTTTCAGACAAAAACATAGGTTAAGATATTTTATTTAAACACTTATGTTTGTTTTCGACTTTTCCTTTATATCACCGGGCAGCTACAAAATATAATGGGGATGGTAAGCTTGAGCATTGATGAAAGGGCATGGTAAATTTGAGTATTGATGGACAGAGTGAGTGGTGAGAGACCATCTGTTTCTTTCATGAAGTGAGCCACTTGAAGTGAGTCTAAATACCACGTTATCTATCTTTTGAATCAACCTCCTCACACTTTCATGGCCTTTCAGCAAAAATATGAGATCTATAAGATAAACATTGTGGCTCATTGTGCAAAGCTCTGTCCAAATATTCACTCTTTTTGTCCCTTTCCAAACATGAACTATCCCATCCATCAGCCCATTGTCTAGCCTTGTCCCCTAGCACCATTTCCCTGCCAAATAGCTCTTTCAGTTCTCAACTATCTAAATCTGCTGCCATATGAAGCCAAGCAACAAATATTATTCGGAGAGTCTGCATGGAAAGGAACCAACAACCAACTGGAACTACTTATCAAAAAAAAAAAACAACCAACTGGAACTTCCATGTTCCTCTTAGTTGTGCATTTTATGTACCAAAGATTTTATTTTCCTGATGACTAAACATGCTTTCCTGGTGCCTCATGTTTTATTTTAAATTATCTCAGTAACTGATAATTATGCAACCAAAATCTAGAGTCTAGAACCTCTTAAGCTTGCCCTTATCACCATGCTCATGCTGCAAGGCCTATACAGATTTGCCCAATGTTTGTGTACAGTATCTAATTTCATTCAAGAATGAAAAACAGAAATTAGGCTCAAATTTGACAAATTATACATAGAATAAAATACCACCCCTAGCAACTACTCCATCATTTCCAGAGAGATTTTGCCATAGACATCAAGTGCATCTTTTATCATGTTCAGTGAGATTGTGACCACGTAGGAAGACCAAAAGCTAAAGAAGTGTTGAGGGACCAGCATTGAAAAGCAAAACAAGTCAAAGTACACAAATAGAAGGATTTTAAGACAAGTCTTACTCTTTTAATCCATGTGCATATAGCTTTTGTGTTCTAAAAGGGGGCCTTTCATTGGATGCGTATGCTTTAGGAACATCAGCATCTTGCATATAACAGAAAGGTGGACAGCCTTCAATCATCTGGAAAAAACCAATGAAGAGTTTATATTTAGTGTGTTCCACTCAGTTTATGTTTTTTCTCCATAATACAAGCTGCATAAATTATACAATGGTAACAATGTGAACTTTGTCCAAGAAATTCAAGATACAAAAATCAGATTTCTCAAATCAAAGATGTAATTGAAGTCAAGCAGAAATTAGACTTTCACACCATGATTTATTTTATGATTAAATTTTTGAGTGAAGTAATTTAATATAGGATAAATTCTAAAATTGAGTCATAAAGTGAAATTAGGCAGTTTTAGATTACATAAAATTGATATATTAACTTATCGAGTATAAGTGGGGAAGAAATTTCAAATTCTAAAAATATTTGATATTTTTTATTTATTATTACATAGGAAGAAAAGGTTAGAAAAGATATCACTCAGATGGTTAAAATAGAGAGGAATTATCCTGATACTCCTAACTGAAGATAAAACAAGGGTAACTATTTAATGTTAGTTAAACATGTCCAAAGGAAACCCATAATGCACCAAACATGAAAGGTGATCAAACCAGCAGTGTGAGTAGAAGTAAGACGTAAGAAACCGTTATTAGAAAATATAAGAAAGGATTTGATAACTCATTGTTTGACTACTTATATTGTTTCAACAGACTTCAATTGCTAAAACAGATCCATGTAGTTAGCTCCAAACAGTTGAGACTTGAGTTTTTATACCTGGGATAGCTCATCTTTGGCATGGATCAGATCCCATATGAAATCAGAATATAGATATTTCGCTAAATTTTACTTTTCTGAAGCTAATAGAACATGCATGCACTCGCGCGCACACACACACACACACTCTCTCTCTCTCTCTCTCTCACACACACACAACATACACACACATTAGTTATCATCCCGAAGCCCTTAGGGTGTGGGACACGTCATCACCTTCTTCTTCTTCCATCACTCCTCCTCCAATCTTCTTAATACCACGACATGCATCTACTGTTCCAAGTACTAAATGCAAGGGACCCTCTGTCTTGGCTTCTCAGTGCTCAAGTCAAGCAACACAGTCACACCATATACGTGCTATTAAGAAATCTGGGCTATAGGATACACGTAATGTCTCTTTATCAAGTTACTAAGGTGTGTAAAATAGACGCTTCTAACTTGGCTGTCCACTTGAGCAGCAAGGATACTCTATGGTAGTCATGCATAATTTACATCTATGAAGTAAGCATGAGTTCCTGATTTGAAGTACTGAAAAGAAATGAAAAAGTAGCTGTAACCAAGTAGCATACTTCTTTTGGAGTAAAGATCTAAAGTCAAATAATTATGATGGTTTGTGAAAAAAAATAAAATTTACCTCTTGTAGAATCAAAGAAAATGCAAAAACATCCACTTTTGTATCATATTCTTCATTACGAAAGACTTCAGGAGCCACATACCTGCCTGTTCAAAGAGAAGTGATAAAGGTGATAAATGATAAAAGAACATCACTCTATCACATTAAAATTCAATTATGCAATTATTAACAATAAACTAGCATGCACAAAGTTCAATAGCAAACTCCTTTTTCCTTGATATCCTTCAGATATTTTAATCATTGTCCTCTATGTTTGCAGTAAATCTTGCAGAATGTTTGCTCCACTAAAATAGTGTGAAGCAAAGACACTTCAAAATGCTTAACATGCCTGTGTAATCTCGAAGTCAGATTCTGGCACTTGCTGCACCCTACCTCACCTTGTCTGGTACTTCAAACCTATTACAACTCTCGTACTATTAAAATGTTAATTTTAAAGTACTGCTTTTATATAGAATATTTATATTATCAGTATACAAGGCTTCTAACTCCTTGATGTTTCTAGTATTTTTACACATGTATCCAAAGTTTGCAATAGCACCTGATACGGCTTGGTAGGGGCCATATTATCGGTCCAACAACTTAGTGGCATGTTGTCATGGACTTAACTGGAATAAACTAACATAAGGCACCCTTATGATATTAGTCTACAAAGAGTCAACAAGTACAACCTCACACAAAAGAGAAAGTTGATTAATTTAAAAACGGAGGCACGTACAAGTCTTAGTGTCTCACTCAAAATCACAGCTCTCAAATAATTCAACAAAAACTTAGAAGCTAAGAAGAAAACAAGGATCTTAAGAAGTACAAAGACAAGCCACAACCCATAAGTCCAGCGAACATCGCTTAATCGGGTGTCAAAGACATTGACAAGCCTACCACTAGTATCAACCCAAGTCTCTATACTATTGGCAAGCTTGATATGAAGTCCAATGGTATCCCAAGACCTCTATGGTACTAAAAGATCCACTGGCTTCTATTACTTCAACTTGTCTTGTTAGCATGTGAGACAAGTCTGAACATATTTCTCTATATCAGTCCTCATTTTTTACCAGTAGAAGGCCCTTTCCACAAGAGCCCAAGGTTTTTGTATTGTATGTCTCGCCTAGAGAGAATTATGACACTCTCTCGAGAGTTTTCTTCTCAAATTATTCACCCTTCGAACATAAACTTTGTTTCCTTTCGTGTAGCCATTCTAGATTCAAAATCGTCATGCCTTTTCTTTTACTGTTGACTATGGGTCATTGTACAATCCACTCCCAATCTTGGGTAGAAGGTGGAAGAACTACATTCATCAATTACACCTTTCTGCATAAAGCATCAACAATGACGCTTGCTCATACTCCATCACCATATTAAAGTTATCCAAGAAGTCATGCTCTCATGCTTGCTTTTAAGAGAGCTTCTTCTAAGCTTGGAAGCAACTCAATGAGATAGTGTTCACCTCAGCATAAATCACATCCTGAGAAGGTAGTGTCTCCACACTTATAAATAGTAAACCACCGTTGTCATCTCATTCTCATGCATGAGCGCCTGCTAGTCAATCTAATTGAGCTTACGACTCTCATAGGCCACCTAGTGACTTGTGCAATAGCACTCCTCCAATAGTCTGAAGAATCTATGTAGACTTCAAATGGCTTTGCATAACCTGATAACATTGAGTATGAACATTTTGTGTTTCTTTTTATAAGATTTGCCAAGTCAGCATATTTGTGTCATGGCATGTCCATCTCTAATATTAATATCCATGGTTCTGATATAGGAACTAATATGCTTAATAAGGCAAAATTCTAAACTATGAAAAAGCACCAGATTGGATAAAGCTCAAACATGGAGAAGAAAAGCAAACACATCATTGAGTACTATAAAAAATGCATACCTTCATGTGACAAGTACAGAGTATGATTTATCAAATAAGTAAATACAGAAGTAAATGATTCTAGACTTACAGGCATCTAGACATGTCAATGGCCTATCCTCTCTTGCAGTTTTTGCCACTTTTAACAACTTGCTAACATCAAAATCCGCAACTTTCAGATGTCCAGTATCATCTAGCAAGATGTTTCTGTTCTCTCGCGATAAGGAAAGTAATGATTGTTTGAAAAATTCATAGTTCCCAGGTTGATAATCATAATACCAAGAGAGACTGTGAAACAAGTAAAACAAAAAATCTGACCAAGTCACTTACGAAGGCTCAAGATCACGGTGAATGATGGCTTCTGGTTTGTGCTCATGCAAATAGTTCATCCCTCTAGCATGTTAATTGAAATAAGAGTCAAATTATGCTTGAGGATTATTAAAAGTGTTCAAATTAAGAAAAGATAAAAATAAGAAAAGCTCCAATGGGACATGACGCCTTATAATCATCCTCAACATCTTTTCAGAAGTGACTTTCAAATTCTAGTCCTAGCAAAATTGCAAAAAGACAAACTTGCCCAAAAGAAAGATCACTCCAGACTGCACTTGATGCAGTTAAAATCCGAAAATTTAAAAGGAGAGGGAATAATAAGCGATCCCATTGTAAATAAAGTTCATCTCAACAACAAAAACTAAGCCTACTATGAAACAGATACACTAAGTTCAAAAAAAGAAAAGAGTGAAAATTTAATGTGTAATGTTCAATCTCTTGTTCCTGCATAAATGAGAACAAAGCAAGAGAACACAAATGACAAAACGTAAACCAACCTAGCTATGTCAAGTGCATAACGGACTGCTGATGCTGGGGTTTGAGCTCCTTCCCTCTTCAAAAAAGCACGAAGATCGCCCTAAATACCAAAATAACTAAATATTATAAAATCACATCTCAAGGCGATGGAAAGGCTCATATATTGATCGATATGAGGATACTAAAATTTAAATTGTGCACAAAAGAAAAGGCAGCGTAGACACACAAAAAAAGAAAAAAAACAAAATGAAGACTTCTCATGAACATAACAATATTTGGATTGAAACCTACATGGAAAAGCAAAACATCTAAGATGCATTCTGAATTCAATGGGCATCAGAACCCTACCCAACCACCCACTAGCATTGCCTGGATTCTTTCTGCTTCCTTTCCTTTATTTTACATTTTGTTGATCTCTCTCTTTCTAATAATACTAAGTTACTGAAAACATGTCATATCCTGCTTAGCAGAATAATCTAATCACAAAATTGAGAGGCTGCTCTGAACAATTCCAGTTTAATCCATGAGTAGTTATATCAGAACAAAATAAAAACAAACTTCACAAATAATAAGCAAAGTAAGCTAAGAGTTTGCAGATTTTTTCAAACAAGGAATTAATCTCGATTGGACCAGTATCAACTGATGGATACAAACTGGTCCAAGTAACATTATTAAAGCATATAACTTGGTGCTAGTGTAGTACTCTGCAAGGACTGCACTACCACCTGAAACAGCACAAAACGGGTGGTACATACCTGTCCAGGAGTGGATCAGTATGCGAACCGCCTCTGTTTTGGGTGGTCCTGTCCAACTCAGTATTAAAAAAAATAAAACAGCCATTAGAGCTCACAAATGTAAGCCCTCTTCTCGCCATTACCCTCTTCTTGTGGCACTGTTTCCATTCGTCACTGCTGTCGTTCGTCATCATCTATCTTCCTGTACACACTCTCTCCTCCTCCTACTACTACTACTCTTCCTTCTTCCTTCTCCTTCTCCTTCTCCGCCACTTCCTCTTCTTCCTCCATCGCTTCTTCTTCCTTCTTCCTTTTTCTTCCTCCTACATTGTGCCTTCCTCTTCTCCATCTACGTCTTTTATAGATACTATGCTTCTACGTCTTTTATAGATACTTATTTTATTATTATTGTTTTATCCAATGACACCTCACCAGATCATCTGCTATATAGATAATGTACTGATCCAATAGGTCACTAAAACTAATATCAGACTGATATTTAAATCTTAAATTCAGGTAGTAATCAAAATGTTCATCCAAATTACAAATAGAACCTTTGGCAAATATTCTGTAACGATCATCATCGGACTACTCTGAGTAACAGCTCCCAAGAATTGGACTACATTAGGGTGTCGTATCTGCTGAAGCAATGCCAGCTCATCCCTGAATGCTTTTCTGCAGAACAGAGAGGAAACTTTAAAATGACATTAAAATTCAAAAATAAAGATAAGAAAGGAAAACAATACACCAAGTGAATATCAACATATGAGACTACCACAAAACATATAGATAACAAGGACCAACCCACACTTTATCCTCATCAGCAATTATATCTTCATTAAACCTTTTAACAGCAACTTGAATTCCATGCCATGTCACTACCCGAAATGTTCCCTAAAAATTAAGGTTCACAAATGAAGATTTATACAATCTAGCTGAAAGTTAAAATACAGAATCTAAAGAAAATTTATACAAATAAGGGTTAGCAGGCATATTATGGTATTAGAAACTGACAAAATGCTAACTCAAACAGAATCATATATATGTATTATGTCTAGTGTGGAGGCACTTTAATGATGATTAAAAAAAGAACTGTGTATAAGTGTATTTGGTTAATATCCAAACATGTGAATGCAGAAATAAATTTTCTATTAAGAGCAATGATTTGAATACCGTAATGTACTACCTACTACGGGCGGTATATATCAAGGTTCGCTGTACCGTACTGTACCGTACCGGCGTTTCGACCCGGGCTCAGTACGGTACGGTAACGGTATACCGGGCGGTACATCAGGGTGTACCGAGTGGTACGCCCTGATGTACCGAATATTTTTTTTATTTTTTTCATACTGTAGCAGTGCTACAGTATAGTACTGTAGTATTGTAGCAATACTACAGTATAGTATTGTAGCAATGCTACAGTATAGTACTGTAGCACTGTAGCGGTACCGGGCGATCCGCGTACCGGTGACCTGTCGGACCGGTACGGGCGGTATGCTTCGGTACGGCAGACCTTGGTATATATTGGTTCGCCAGTAGATCGGCATGCGGAGCGCCCACTACCAGGCGGTATCAGGTATTTGGCCCCGTATCGGGCGATACGAGGTTGTACCGAACGGTAACGATCAAAATTTCGATCGTTACTAACCTGTACAGCCGGTACTGGTCAATTTCAACCATTACTGACCTATACCGGGCGATAACATCGAAATTGACCATTACCGAATGGTAACAGTGTTCCGACGATCAATTTGACCGTTGGAGGACTCCTCAAGGGTTTTTAAACCCTTTCCTCCTCTCTATTTCAATCCATTTCACTCTCACACTTTCTTAAACTTTCTCAAACTTATTTTTTCTCATATTCTCTCACATTTTCACTCTCTTAAACTGAACAAAGCAACGAATTGTGGATTAAATCAAATTTAGAAGGCTAATTTGGGAGGATAAAGAGGAAAACTTTTTAATCAAGAGGTATGTATTCTCTTTCTAGATTTTTATTGATTTATGAGATGATTAAGCCTATTCTATGTGATGTATGACTTAATGTCTAATATGTTGTTTGATATGTTTTTGATCAATGTTTGAAATATCGTATCGTACCAGCGTTTCGACATTCGCTCGATACGATACGATACTGTATACCGAGCGATATACCGTTCAGTATATCGCTCGATATAATATATATATATATATATATATAATTATTTTTATATATAAATATTTTTTATAAAA